TCACCTTTGACTCCCCACTTATTGTGGTCTTGGGAACTTACCAAGCCTCAAGCTGTTTGGCTTTATACTTAATGGCAGTAAATATTTATATGAACAGTCGTGGAGACCTACAGCCAGTAAAGGCCTTCACAGATTGAGCCCCAGTTTACAAAAAAGAAATAAATGTAAAGGCCCGGGTGAAATAATATCTGGATCTCTTTCATACTAAGAACTTAAAAATCAGACACCTAAAGCTTACTTAATGTTCATCCCCCAAGAGAATTTACAGACGTATGCCAAAACTACCTTGCAAATGATTCAGAGAGCCCATGTCCAAGAAAAAAAAACCTCTTTAAAAAGCCTTCATTTTTAACTTGTATTGCAGAACCACTTTAAGAGCAATTTGCTTTTAAAAAAATTAAAATAAAATGTATGTATGTAGGGGTGGGTATGTGCATGAGTGCAGTGCACAAGGAGGCCAGGGATGTTGGATCACCTTAGAACTGGAGTTATAATCAGTTGTTGAGCCCCAGATGTGGGTGCTGTGAGAGCAAAATTCATCTTAACCCCTGGAACACAGACGTATGTATCTCAGATAAAACTGAGAAACTCTGTCTCCCCAGGCTGGCTTTGCACTGTTGGGTAACCCAGGCCTGCTTGCCTGCCTCAAGCTTATGGTCCCCCTGACCCGAGTGCAGAAATTATAAAGTAAGGGGCTAGAGAGATGGCTCAGCAGTTAAGAGCACTGCTGTTCTTCCAGAGGTCCTGAGTTCAATTCCCAGCAACCACATGATGGCTCACAACCATCTGTGATGAGATCTGGTGCCCTCTTCTGGCCTGCAAGCATATATGTAGGCAGAACACTGTATACATAATAAATAAATCTTTAAAAAGAAAAAAAAAAAAGACATTTACTATTATGCCCAGATCAGAAAATATTTCTTTAAACAATACATCTTATGCATATAAAATAGAGGAACTGGTTTAACACTGGCAGATTTCGTCTTGTCTGCCAAGGCACATGTTTTTCTCTTTTCCTAGGCATTTGTGCATAGGTCATATGCATTTGATTTTTCCTCCACCACCTAAGATTAAAAGCCACACAACCAAAACTGTTCTCATAGTATCAAAAAGATAATACTAAACTGTTAAAGTGATTTGTAATAATTACTTAGTATCCTATAAGATTCAGCCCTTAGTTGAGGAAAACTGAAACCTCAACTAGAATTTCTTACAATTAGCGTGTTCTAATTATTTTTCTTTTATTTTAATGAAATACTAATCTGAAAGTACTTTAAGTTTATTAAAAAAATATTAGGCAGCCAGGTGGTGGTGGCACTTGCCTTTAAACCCAGCACTCAGGAGGCAGAGACAGACAGATCTCTGTGTGTTTGAGGTCAGCCAGGGCTACACAGAGAAACCCTGTCTACAAAAACAAAAACAAAAAAGGCACATACCACGTACCTGCTGCTTCTGAGATCCTTCAGAAAACAAAGATCCTTTCTTCCTTGTACTTTAGCTAAGAAGAACACACTATTTGTGGTAGAAAACAAGTAACAGAAGTAGGCTTGTCATTGTAATTTTAAAGAGTAAAATTAATTTGCTCAACTTCACTTGAGCAAAACTGCAAAGAATAAAAAAAAACAACTACCCATGAAGATTGACCAGTGAACCCACGAGGCAGGTAACAGCAATAACCAATGTCCTAAGGTGGGAGTGCCCCAGCTAGATCAAAGGAGCAGAGACAGCAATAGGGATTGAGTGAGAAGGGCTAGAGTGCAGGTAATGGCTCCACAGATCACTATAAGGACTGTTGTTTTCTTAAGTAGGAAGCAACCTAAACAAAAGACATAAAGCTTTAAATGATCAATACCTGCTCTGAGAATACAGTAAGAGGAACGGTGAAGCAAACCAGTAACCTGTTAGTTGACCACAGAGATAATCCAGGCAAAGCAAATTAGAGTAGGGTAATAGTAGAGACAGTGAAACTGTAGGTGAACTACTATTAGATGCACATGGAGGAGCCTAAGATCCTTTCTGCTTTAAAACTAGAAGCATTGCTATTAAGGGGCTTGCTATGGTTTGATTAAGGTCTACCCAGAGGACCATGTGTAAGGCTTATTCCCTAGGATGACAGGAACTACTGAGTGGTTGGTGGGATCTCTACGAAGGAAGGAAGGCCCAAAGGAAACTTCTCTCCCCAAGGAAAGCAGCAGGATCCAACAGTCCTCTACTTTTTCGCCTGGCTGATGAGCTAATGGTTTAGCTCTACACTGTACTCCAGCCATATGCTGCTGCCTCACTGCAGACAAAGCAACACGGACAACTGATCACTGAAACATTAAATACTAAATTAAAATCATAAATCAATCCTTGAGGATTTTATTGTTGTTATGGAAGGATTAACTGACTGGAAGAAGCATTAGCAAAAATGAGTTTAGCTTTGGGTATGGGGATGTCCTGTTATGTCACACAGTGAGGTAACAAATATTGTTATAATAGAGATCAGATCACCAAAATCAGTATTGAAAAGAGAGGCAAGGAGCTCAAACTCTTGGCTTTGAGGTTTATACTCTACTTATAGTTAAGAATTAAGGCCTGGCAGTGGTGGCGCACACCTTTAATTCCAGCACTCGGGAGGCAGAGCCAAGAGAATCTCTTGAGTTTGAGGCCAGCCTGGGCTACAGAGTGAGTTCCAGGAAAGGCGCAAAGCTACACAGAGAAACCAAAAAAAAAAAAAAAAAAATATCTTAGAAGCCAAATGAAGAGTTTCAAACTCAAATGTTATTCATTGGTTGGACTTATCAAAATAGAAATCTTAGTTAACTTTGTTAGTAATAGATTATTAAGATAAATTTACCAGATGACCTAACCAGGTATCCAAACTGAACAGCAACCAGGGAAAAGCCATATGCTATTTTATAACATGGAAATCGTCACCTTATAGTCTTACACAAAAGGTTTATCCTAAACACTACAAGTTTAGGGCTGGAGGTATCGTTAACTAGTTAAGAACACTTGCTGTTCTCAAGGATCAGTGTTTGGTTTGTACCAGCCACATCAGGCTGCTGTGTAACTCTAGCTCCAAGAGATCCACCACCCTTTTTCTGGCCTCGTTAGGTACCTGCACACACAAACACACAAATGTATTTTTAAAAAACACCTAAAACTTTAGACCTGCCTTCTAGTTTATAACTTCAAAAGGAAAGATCATGTTAATGGTAGCACAAAGGGATGCTCAGGATAACAGGCTTAGTCTTTCCAGAAAGTTACAATCTTGATTGAACCCTGGGGCTCAAGGGGGTGGGAGGTAGACTTAGAGTAGAGCTAAAGTTACTTCACAAATGGGGAGATGGGAATGAAGACATTCTGCTCTAGATGGATAGCACTGAGGTTAGAGAGAAGCATACATGATTTGGCATTAACAAGTACAACATTTTGAAAACAATTTATACTTGAAGGAAAAATTCAAGTAGATGACTATTCTTTCAACTTCTATGAATGTTTTCCTAGCAAGTTGTTGCAGTGTTGAGGGCTAAATTTGAAAGATGTGATCTTGGTTGACACAGTGTGGGGAGGGCAAAGTAGCTGGCACCTAATGAGAGGTCAAAGATACTGTTAACACTCTAGAATGCAGGTATATCCCAAAGTGCCAACAGTGTTGAGACTGAAAGTCTCTACTAGTGGGAAATTTGTTCACTTTACAGCCAGCTCCTGTGTCAGAAATTAGGCTTCTCATACACTAACGGACTTGCCAACTGCCTGGGGATCGTGAAAGCCCTACCACACTTTGGCTGCTTGCTTTGGTTTTTCAAGACAGGGTTTCTCCGTGTAGTTTTGGTGCCTATCCTGGATCTCGCTCTGTAGACCAGGCTGGCCTTGAATTCACAAAGATCCGCCTGGCTCTGCCTCCCGAGTGCTGGGATTAAAGGCGTGCGCCACCACTGCCTGGTGGCTGCTTGCTTTTTAAATGAGGGTTTGGAATAAAATTAAGTTTAAAAGACAAAATCCTGTTTTCAGTGAATGTATTACAAATGAAACAGAAAATTCAGAAGGGGCCGTGTAATTTTTTGGGGGGTGGGGGTGGGGTATCCTCTCATATTGACCAGGCTGGCCTTGAACTCCTAATCCTCCTGCTTCTACCTCCCCACTACCAAGATTACAAGTGTATGGCTAGCACTTTCAGCTTGCTCACTATTTTGTAAGAAAGCTATGTCTGGAAACCATACATGGAAAGTGTGTTACATTTATTCATTCATGTGTTGTTAGCGTTTTGAAAATACTTACATGTTTTATATGTATGTGTGTGTACCTGAGTGTATGTGTGTACTGTGTGTTCATCCTGAGACCTTTGAGTTCAGAAGAGGCATCAGTTGGTGAGCTGCTGGAACCAAACCTGAGTCCTATGCAAGAGCACCAAGTGCTCTTAACTGAGCCTTTCTCCAGCCCCTATGTTCATTTTGTAACACTACCTAGGGTTTCCTAAGTCTCAACAAGGCTTGTCTAGATCAGGTTGGCCTGTGGGCATGTCTGGGAGGGACTGAATTGCCTCATCTGAGTAGGGAGAGCTAACCTGAGAGTGAATGGCACCATCCCTTAAACTGTCCAGGAGAAAGCTAACTGAGCACTGTGCAGTCACTGTTCTCTGCTCTTTCCTGTTGTTTAGATGGACTAACCTGGAATTGTGAGTAAAACAAACCCCTTTTACCCTAAACTGCTTTTTGCTGGGGTATTTTATATCAGCTAGAGCAACCATACTTTCATATATCACATTCAAAAACATTAAAACTGGAATCAAAGGTACAAATTCTACAGCTGTTTGAGATCTTGCTATGTAACATGCTGTCATACAGCAAGTCACAGAAGCACTTCTGAACCAGAACTTAATTTTGGGAAACAGCATTTAATAAAAGGTAAACCTTACCAGAAAACTAACTTTATTGATTTCTAGAAAATACTTATGTTTAAAACACTACTTTATTCAAATACTACCCATGTGTACAATTTGAAAACAAGCAGAATAGAAGTAAATGTTTTATTTTTCCAACTAAACTCCAGTGCTACAAGGGCAGTAAAACAATGATACAATGGGGAGGGGGTGCAGCAATAAACATTTGTTAAAAAGACTGATAGAATAAATAAAACTACCAAAAAATAATAATAAAGGAAATCATATAAACCCATTCTGAAACCCCAAGAAAAGTCCTGAAATACAGAAATGCCCTCCTCCTCCTCCACTATTTCACAGAAGTACTGTAGACTAACTGCTTAATTGTCCTGGGATTACATTCTAAATTATTAATAACTGGTTACAGCTTGGTTGTAGTGCACAATTAAAATCACACTAACTTCATCTGACGTGTCATTCTACAGTTTTATTTACATAACCAGTGAAGGGCATGTTCTAGGATGCCAACTTTAATCCCTTTCAAACATTAATATAAAGAAGCCAAATTGTAATGATACAGCAAAACGAGGCCACTGGTAGTAATACAAGTAGCAAAGGTCCACATCCAGGTGGTAATGACATCACGGAATTTCCAAAACCAATTGCTGCTGCCTAAGAGTGGTTGCCACTGACGAAAGCTTGAAATAACCTGTATTCACAGATGGGTACTGGCATTGCTGCATGTCATAGTTGGGACCTCCTGCAACAACTCAACAAGGAACAAGGCAGCCCACAAATGCAAAAAGCGTGATTCATGAAACATCTGGAGGAGAAAAGGAGTATTAGTGCAAAGAACGGTGTACGATTAAAACATACAAGATAATACAATCCCAACATCACCCCTAAATACTTAAGTAACCAAGAGTTGCAGCATTTTACTTTTATTTTAAATCAACATTTTCTCTACATTTTTTTTATCAACTCTTTTTAAATATGAAAACATGGTCATTTCAATTTATGGTTCAGAGGTCAAATACTTACAACTAGCAGGCTGTTCTCCATATCGCCGCATTATCTGATCATGCGTAAACTTGACAAATGCATCATATTGTTCTACAAATAAAGGTATGTGTCAATTACATGACTTGCAAAATATCCTATATAATGTATCTGAAAATATAAAGCTATGTGACAGCACTCTTAACACTTCATCCTTCCCATAACCTCAGGAGTAATTGTAAACAGTTCAAATGAGTGTTTCCCACAGGATACAACATAAAAATTTGAACTCACTAATACTGTAGCTGATCTACTAACTAACCTGGGGCCATGAAGGTGAGGTATGGGTTTTAAGAATGTTGATTTCCTTTTTTTACTGAAATGCTCTGGTCTACAGACACTCTATCAATGTACAGAAAGAATAATTTCACCAGCATAAAACACGGTGGGAATAATTCACTTCTTACAATGAGTTCTTGGTGTGGTGGTCTGAATAAGAATGGACCCCATAGGTTCATATATTTGAATGCTAAGTCACCAAGGAGTGGAACTCTGAAAGAATTAGAAGGATTAGGAGGTGTGGCCTTATTGGAGGAAGTGCATCACTGGGGGTGAGCTTTTGTTGTAGAATATTTGTTTAACTAGGCAAAGATACATGTTTCTGTTACATTTGTTTAATTAATTATGTAAAGACGTGTTGTTTTGCCTTGCCTGCCCAAGGCACCTGATTGGTCTAATAAAAAGCTGAATGGCCAAAAGCTAGGCAGTAGAGAAAAAGGAGGGGCTGGAGGGAAAGAGAATAAGTAGGAAGAGGAATCTAGGCTCAGGAGAAGAGATAAGGGAATGAAGGAGAGAGGGAAAAGCCCAGAGCCAGTCAGGAAGCCACCAGCCAGCCAGAGACAGAGTAGGACATACAGAATGAAAGGTAAAAAGCCCCAAGGCAAAACATAGATGAAGAGAAGCAGGTTAATTTAAGTTACAAGAGCTAGTGGGACAAGCCTAAGATAAGGCTGAGTTAATCCCAGGACTCAGGAGGCAGAACCAGGCGAATCTTTGTGAGTTCAGTCCAGCCTGGTCTACAAAGTGAGATCCAGGACAGGCTCCAAAGCTATACAGAGAAACCCTGTCTCGAAAAAAAACAAAAACAAAAAAACTCTGTGTCATGATTTGGGAGCTGGTTGGTGGCCCAAGAGAGCCTGCTATGGGCTTTGAGATTTCATAAGCCCAAGCCAGGCCTAGGCCTTCTCTCTCTTCCTAGGGACCAGGATGTAGCTCTCAGTTATTACTCCAGCACCTCTGCATGCTGCCATAATGGACCAACCTCTAAAACTGAGCAAGCCCCCAATTAAATGCTTTCTTTCATAAGAGTTGCCCTGGTCATGATGTCTCTTCCCAGCAATACAACAGAGACTAAAACACTGGGATGGATATTCTAAAATAAGTCCATGTATTACCTGCAAGTTTTGTGTTCAGTATTTCTTCATATTCTTCTCGAACTTTCTCTTCCCGTTCTTTCAACAAACGTTCACAGATCATCCCAACCTGCCTTAGAGTAAATAAGGGCTGTTCTTTTTTTAATGGTGAGGATGTTGCAGATGAAGTCCCTATGTACAACATGAATAAAACAGCACCTGATTTAGAACCACCTCAACAGAATTCCTCCTGAATTTCATTTAGAACTTTCCCATGTCATTTAAAATTCTTTATGATAAATAGGTTCAATTAATAATTCTATCAGCCCATGACTTTGGAAAAAGAGATCTTACCCAGAGGAAAAGCCTAAAGATGAGTGGAGAAAACCTCAAATTAAATCACTGCAATAATGGAGCCCATTACAAAACTTTCAATCTCCATCCCAACAAATACCTGCTTAGAACATTTAGTGGCTAATTTACAAGATTTGCTACAAAACAAATATAACTCTGGTCTAAAGCTTCACTTTAATATTAGAGTAACACTATAAAGACACTTATTGTTAATTGTTTATATTTTAAGGCCATCCAGTAAAGACTCACAACCAAATTATGCTACCACTTCCCTCATTTTCCAAACCCTTTAGTTTCCTATTAACAGAAAATCATGTCTAAAAAGAAAAAACAGATTGGAATTTTTACCCTTAAAAAAAGGTGCTGTAGGGAAAATTCTGGAATGTAGCTAATTAAAATCATAATTGATCCTAAGTTTTGAATGGTGACCACAATCCCCTTCATTAAAATAATTTAAGTTCAAACACTCAAAACTGCAACAGAATCACAAAGGTATCAAATTAAAGCAACTGTATCCAAAAGCAGCTGCAACATCAGTGTTTGTCAATTTCAAATTAGCAAGAATATTCCTTCAGTGTTTTTGTAACTGAAAAGTTCTTCAGAGAAAATTCTTATAGTAATCGTTGAGACAGCACAGATCTGTTATTAAAAACTTTACTAATAGGATACCAATATATCTGTACAAGTTGATGCATGAACAAATATTCAGAAATGTTCATTTCTGACTTCTTAAAAGGAGGGATCTCTGATCATGATTATTTCTTTGAATTGTGTACTTTTTTGTCTAACAATTTTTACATCTGCTAGGATAGTCTGTAGAGGGTAAAAAACTTCATATATATTTTATGGTTCTGAGTTCTGAAAGATTATTAATATAACTGATATTATCAAATAATGAGATATGTCATAGAAAAAGATTTCCTTAGACACTCATCCTCTTTAAGAATCATTTAAAGTACTTTGATCTCCTAAAACAGTTCTTGACTTAAAGATCATTTGTGATAATCTTCTGGCAACTCAGTTACAATAGCTATCCGCTGCATCCCTACTGTGGAGTACTCCTTACACATGCAAGCACATGTGTGTGTAAACAGTTGCTTCCTCAGCTTGCTCTGAGGTGCCTTCATTGACTCATCCCAGTGAGACTTCTCAAGCTCTGTCTTTCATCAGAATAAATTTAGACCCCAACTACCAAGGCTAGCTTACCTTACTTTGAAATTCCAAGCCTTGTTAAGGCTGGCAAAAAATTGACATTCTAAGAATTAAAACTGACATTAGTAGAAAACTTAAGATCATTATTATAATTTGAGTAAGAATCACACTCTTGGTACACCTAGAGCCCCCCAATGGCACCACTCCAATACTTAGTGTTGAACAATTTCCCTAATTTTATTTGATTACCTTACATCTTTTATTTTTGTGTTTTTGTTTTGCTTTGAATTCTGCCAGGTTTTCTTACCCCTATTAAGGAAGGAAAGCAAATGCTACTGAAAAAACTATTTTGACAGGGTATTTACTAAAGGTAAGATGCAAGTAACTTCAGCATCCCCCTCATTCAAGTCAGCCATTTCCTATAGTCAAAAAGGACAACAACAACAACACAAAACACAACAAAACAAAAACTATTCCCATATCCCAGTGGGTTATGCCCCACTTTATAAACTTCAAAGCCTGTATTACTCTTTACCATTAAAAAAAAAAAACTGATGCCCAATGTGACAAATGTCTCAAGAGTACATGGAGAGACTATATAAAGTTTCTATCAGAAGGATTTTTTAATGTAACTGACAGATCAAGAATTTAAAAATGGCACTGTTCAGACACTATTATCTAGCAAAGCATATGGTGGGGCTGGAAAGAGCTCCATAGTTAAGGGCATTTGTTTTTTGCAGAGGACCCGGGTTTGGGTCCCAGCACCTACATGACAGCTCAGAACCATCTGTAACTCTAGTTTCAGAGTTTGGACACCCTCTTCTGGCCTCTGTGAACACCAGGCATACAAGTAGTATAAGTATATACATGCAGACAAAAGCATAAAAAGATTGGGTGTTTTAAAAACATACAGTAAAGCATTGTGATTTTTTCAATGGAAGTTACAAGTCATTATACTTACATGGCGTCCGCTTTAGGGTTGCTAAATAAAAGTGGCTGTCTGTGGCTGGTGAGAATCCAGGTGCTGATTACTTTTAATATTATAGCATAATTCTTTTTTAGGGGTGCTTTAAGTCACTGTAGGCATTTGCATTATACTTTCTCCATCATTTCTTACATAACATTTCTTTTACTTATTAAAGTTTCTTATTACCTGGTGATGCTGGTCCACTGATGAGAAATGCATGTGGCTGTGAATCAGAACTACAACCTGGGTCTGTCTGCTGAAAACTAGCTTCTAAATGTCTTCTCTTCTGCATACGTTTATACTCCTGTTTTATGTTGTACAGAATTTGTTCTAAAAGAAAAAATTCAGAAAGATCAAAATTTTCACGCTAAATATAAACTATCTGAAACATTCCTTTCAAGTAACAACCCTCCCCCCTCCCCAGCAATTTCTTTGAGCACAGTTAACAGGGGCACTTTTTCAGAAGTAGAACCCTCTTCTGGCTTCTTCATGCATATACATGTGGTATACACTCCCAGACACACATATACACATAAAACGAAATTTTTTGGGGAAAAAAATAGCATATACATATCAGCTGCAGTCTAGCAATTCAAAGTCAAATCTTGTTGAGCACTAACTAGTAAAAGCTACACTTAAGCTTTTTAATCAAAAGAATGGTTAGGTAGTCTAACTAAAACACATTTTACTCAGTAAACTCAGAGGTCATATATCCATTATATATAAAACTACTTAATTAAATTTATAGGCATTTCCAATAATTAGAAGGGAAGACTATGTACATTCAAGCATAGGCCAATGAAAAGTGACCACCGATCTAAAATGACAAAGTACAAGGCAATTAAAATTTCATCATGCATAAAATTGTCTGTCATGAATTAATATGAAGCACATTGAAACCTGAAACTATTCCAGCATTAACAAAGCATTCTGAATCTTGAGGAGAAAAGACCATGTGAAATGATATGATACAGCATGGGGTCTTTTCAATACATAAGAACCATCATACTACAATGAGGTTATCTTTAACATAGCCCTGAAACAGTTAAAATTATATCCAGTGTATCATGTTTGAGCCAATACGATTCTAACTGATTCCAAGATTTCTAACTGAAATAGGTACCATTTGATCTAATCAGAAAATGCCTGAGGTTTTCACTCCCCTTGTCAACCATCTCCAGACTTTCTCACTAACCCTCTTAGCTCTATATGAAACTAAATCCCAAGAAGTTTATTCATCCTAATTGAAAGCAAATGTAAGCAAAGTGAAAAGTAGCAACAAACAGGCAATTAAATAAAGATGCACAAAGTGAAGCACTAACTTCTATATTCAAGACTTATACAATGTAACAATCCTGTTCAATATTTAATACTGGTACCTTTCATTTTACTCTTCAGTAGTCTCTTTTCTTTCTCTAAGAAAATATTCAGAATTTTAAAGAAAGGATCATTTTATTTTTTTTTTATGTGCATGAGTCTTTTGCCTGCATATGCTTAATGATACCATATGCATGCAGTGCCTGTGGAGGCCAGAAGAGGGCATCTGATCTATTGGAACTGGCATTAAGGACAGTTGTGCACCCTAGGAATAGAACACAGGTCCCCTGCAAGAGTAGCAGGTACCCTTTAACTACTGAGCCACCATCTCTCCAGCCCTCCTTGCTCTGACTTTAAACATTTTAGATGCTGCCTATTCCATTAAAACGAACAAGAAAAAAGAAAAAGAAACTCAAATGGAAAATGAATCTAAATGAAACCAGTCAAGATATCATTTAACTATTGTCATTTAAATAAAGGCTCTAATACTGATAGCACATGATCAACGTTATGTAGTCAATGATCTAACTTTACTTAGACAAAATCCAGGCAGCACAAACCACTAACTTGGTTTGATTTATTTCAAGTTAGGAGTTGAATTGGATAATGACCTCTTCCAAAATTCCCCACTCATTATTCTACCATGTACACTACTTCTGTTCAGGTACTTGCTGACTTAAGCTCCTACCACACTTATAAAGTAATGAAGGTGGACTTAAGTCCTACCATATGTCAGTAAAAGACTCATCTACTTATTCTGAAGGTACTTCTAGCCAGTCATTGTTTTAGTAAACACCAAAATATACAGTTAAGTATTTTATCTAAGACTATGTAATATCAACACCGTGTTGCTAACACAATTTACAGTACAACAAATAAGAAGCCAAAGCTTCATCTGTATTATCAGTTGTGTATTCCAGTTTTAATCATGCAGCTTTCATGAAGCTTAAACTGAGTTTGCAGGGGTCCTTTAGGGCAAAACACGGTTATACTCCTGACAAGCTGTATCCCAGTGGGTTATGCCCCACTTTATAAACTTCAAAGCCTGTATTACTCTTTACCATTAAAAAAAAAAAAGTGAAAGCACCAGCAAAATCTGATTCTAGGCATTTTCATTATAAAATCTAGTAAATAACACTAAGTGATAATAAAATTTGTTTCCTTTTAGTTAAGTTTATCAGTAAAACCAGCAGTATCCTTTTGCAAGTTTTTTTTTAAGCAAGCTAAGTAATGGTGAATAGAAAACCTTCACTGATTATGTAAATCCTAGGCACAATGAACAAGATCACAAATAAGAGAACAAGGCACAGGACTTCAAAAAAACAGGCTGGAAAGATGGATCAGTGCTAAGAGCACTTGCCCTGGAAGTATGATACCCTGAGTTGAATTTCTAGCCTCCAGGTAAAAAAGCATGTGCCTGCAAACCCAGCCCTGGGGACTGAGGCAGGAAGACCCACAGTTTCACTACCATCCAGCCTAGCTGGAATAAGCTTTCAGTTCAGTAAGAAATCCTAGCAACATCTTGGAGGGGAGGGACATGGGGAAAAGCAAGTGAAAATGACAATAGGTAGAATCCCAAATTGAGAGATTGAGGGTCAAAGTCTAAGATGTCCCCAATCCACTAAAGTTTTAAATTTCCTTCAGGCATTATTAGATCAAAAGCTAAGGTTCCATGAACAGTTTTCAAAGTTTACATGTATGAGACTTTTTAATATGTTATATACCAGTTCTTAAAAAAAATTGTATGTGTACACACATCTGTGAACACCACCATGTACATGTTAGGTAGGGTCTGAGGACAGTTTGGGAAGACATTCTCTCCTTTCACCATGGGATCACTAAATTCAGGTCACCACACTTGGCAGCAAGCACCCTTAGCCATCTCACCATCTAATATGCCATTTATTTCTCTATGGAGTATCTGAAAAATTTAAATGAACATGCATCTAGACAAAGCATGATTACACAAAGGAATCTTGAAAAGTTTATAATTTATAGAAAGGAACACAAATGATATAAAATCTGTTCAGAAGTACAGAAAATCTGCAGTAGCCATTAAGACTGAACACTAACAAACGTTCAAATAAAATAACAAATATACAATTCTGAATTTCACAGATAGTGCCATGTTGTTATAAATTAAAATACACACAACTGGGGACTGATACAGAGACCCATCTTTGTAAAGCAGTTATTTTTCCAGGATCACCAATTTAGAAATTAAAACAGTTCTTAATTTCTCCATTAAGAACATTCAGGGACTGGAGAGATGGCTCAGAGGTTAAGAACAGTGACTGTTCTTCCAGAAGTCCTGAGTTCAATTCCCAGCAACCACGCGGTGGCTCACAACCATCTATAATGAGATCTGGTGTCCTCTTCTGGTGTGAAGGCATACATACAAGCAGAACACTGTATACATAATAAATAAATTTAAAAAAACACACACACATTCAAGGCCAGCTAGGCTGGTCTACATAGTAAGTTCCCGCCATCCAGTGCTATGTAATGAAACCCTGTCTGAAAAATACTTAACTAATTAACTGCACAATGGGATTTAGAACCAAAAAAACCCCTTCAATTAGCAGGTGGATTCTCTTGCTACTAAATTCCAGTTCATATGATAGGAAAAGGGATGTGTTAATCCAACTGCTTTTGTTGTGTGGCTATTATAAGTACCTTCTCAAATAGCTTACAAGTTAGAAAAGTGTGGGGTAATCTTAAAATTTAAAAAAAAGCAAAAACAGCAACAGCAGTGAGTGAGAAAAATGGGAAACTGAACCAATCAAAACTCAAAAGGGGGAAACCGTGTATGATGCAGAGAACACATGGTTCCATCTAACTTAGAAGCGGGGGTGGGGGGGTGGGGGGGGTGTCCAGTTCTCATTCCAACACACCACAGACATAAAGGCAAAATAATTTAGTTACTTAAAGGGTTTTATAATAAGCTGCTGAAGTATCTCAAGTTATCACTGGCTCTATATTACCAGTGAAATAACAGAATTTGACCTTGCAGTGGTTACAACTTTTCTTCCTCATGTAGATGATAAATGAATGAATGCCTCTTAGACAAAAATGTTATATAATGTAAAGTTAGAATCTAACTTGGCTTGCAAAGACAGAGGGAGATTTTTTTTTGAGGACAGCATAATTAAAGTTGAAATACAAATCTATTTCATGTGCTCCGGCACTCTTCCTCCCAAATAAGCTACATAGAAAAATGGTGCCAATATTTGCTAAGTGATGTTTCACACACTAAATAACATCCTATTTGACTCTAGTACTTTACTATTTTTAAAAAATGTTTGTGTGTCTGTCTATGCATATGTGTGTGGGTGCCCAGAGGTCAGAGATGACCCTGGAGCTGGAATTACACGCAGTTGTGAGCTGAATACCATGAGTGAGGGAACAGAACTCAAGTTCTCTGCAAGAGCAATAAGCACTCTTAACTGCTGAACAATCTCTCCAGCTCTGTATTCTTTTTTAAAACAAATAGGACTGTGGTCAAATATTTGACAAACTGTCTGTTTAATCTCTCCTAAGATAATCATCATGTGATTGATGGTAAACAAATGCATTTTTCTATAGTGACTACTATAAAAGAAGAATTAAGACTAACTCTCCACAAAAAAAATACTGATTGGAATCTACAGGTTAATCCACAATTTTTTTCCCCCCGGAGCTGAGGACGGAACCCAGGGCCTCTAGCAAGCGCTCTAGCACTAAGCTAAATCCCCAACCCCAATCCACGAGTTTAAAAGCCAACAGATTTTGAGCTGAAAGTGGGGACAATGTAGTGGCCCTCTTGTAATTCCACCTCAGAAGGTGAGGACAACACGGGAGTAAGATGGCTAGCTCTGGATTCAATTGAGATCCTGCCTCAATAACTAAGGTTAAGAGTGATTGAGGAAGACTCCAGATGGCAATTTTGTTTGTTTGTTTTTCAAGACAGTGTTTCTCTGTGTAGTTTTGGTGCCTGTCCTGGATCTCACTCTGTAGGCCAGGCTGGCCTCAAA